AGTCTCTTCCATGTCCCTTCCGCAGCTCTTCTTCATATTTTCCTTTCATTCGTGGGAACTCCAGCTTGGTAATGTTTTTGACCCTTTTCAACAAATCAGCCCCTTTTCCATAGTCCAGACTAGACTCCATGTGGTATTTAAAAACATGTTTCAGATTCCCTCCAAAATTGAGAGCCCCCACAGCTCCAAACATCTGACGGCCCATTGCCAGACTCGAAAAGTCCAAATCTCCCTGTATAGGGGGGTCTGTCCAACCCCCCATTTCCAAACCAAACCAAACTTTATCTTTCCAAGTCTGGTGGGTTCCAAATTCAGTTGTCAAATCCAAAAATTTATGTTCCTGCTGGGCCGCAGCTCCCTCCGTCTCTGGCGCCCAAGATTCAGCAGCATCCTCTTCTCTCAGCTGTTCTGTCATGGCACACTCCTGTTTTAGCTCCTGGGTGGGCTCCATATAATTTCCCACTACCTGTTCAAAGGTTCTGGCTGCATTAGTCATCAAATCCGTCTTCTGGCTTAACTGATCCAATAGGGCATTTATTTTACAGAGAGCACCCAACAATGCTTCTGAAGACATTGTCCTGCAAGGTCACAAATCCTTTCCCATGGTTGTAATCTGTGGCAGCTGCAAGCTCCCAGGGATTAGTTACAATTTCACAGTCCCCCTCTAGGGGGAAATCTTCTGATTGTTCTTTCTTTTAAAAACAATAGCAACAAAGTTTCTTTTTTAAGGTATTTTGTCCATATTTGTTCTTTTTAAAATGCGAAAGGAAACAATGGAATCACTATGTTTCTCTTCTTTTAACTATCTGTCAAAGACATTTGTTTCTGGTCAATGAGCTTCAAACGTCAATTCTGACACCCCGCTCCAGGATCAGGACGGTGGAAAATTACTTTGCTTTAAACTCACTTCTGCAGGTTTAAACAGCCCAAAAAAGATCCCCCTTCTTCTCCTGCTACCGAAGGGGGGTTCAGCGATTTTAAATGATGAAAACCAATCCTTTGAAAGTGATTTTTAAAGCTCTAGTTTATGTTGTCTTTGCTTTATTCTGGCTACAAGGAAACGGAAGGCTGACTTCCTGTTTAGACCTTACCGTTTCAGTACCAAATTAAGGTAAATTTTTAAGTCCAAATTCCTTTCTATTTCGCCAGTTCTTATTTGAAGTCCAAATGTTCAATGTTCCAGTACTCACAGGTGGTTATTTTAGATGCCAAATTGTCCCAGGAAAAAGGCAGCGCTCTCCGGCAACGGCTATGCGGCTTCGCTCCGCAGAAAAAGCAATTGACTCACAGCACCGCACCACTTCCCCCTCTTCGTTTCGGAGCCCGCTAGTGGGTTCCTTTGCGGGTTGGAGGGGCGCTAAGGGTGCCCGCCGAGTCCCACGGTCACATGCTTCATCCGCCTGTGATTTCCAGAAGGGTCCCCGCTTCGCCGTAGCGGAAAAGACCCGTTTCATGCGGAGCTAGTCCCTCCAGTTCAGAGGGAGTCCGCCATTACTGATGGCGCCACCCCGGAAGTCCCTGACATCACTTTAGTCTCACTAATGATTCAGCTTCTGCCAGCATCTATGCAAGCCGACATTTCACACCAAGCCTTCAGGGAGCTGGGCGAGAGGATGTTCAGCTGACGTCTGAAGTTGCACTGGGATGTGAGCATAGAAATACTCCTGGCACTGCAGAGTATGCAAATTTCATCAAGATTGCCTCCCACTCCTTTCCATTGACACCACATCACCATTTAACTCTTGGTTTCGGCCCTACATTATGTTCCCCATCCGACCTTACATCACAATTAAAAGGTAATGGTAAAGGGACCCCTGACCATTAGGTCCAGTCATGACCGACTCTGGGGTTGCGGCGCTCATCTCGCTATATTGGCCGAGGGAGCCGGCGTACAGCTTCTGGGTCATGTGGCCAGCATGACTAAGCTGCTTCTGGCGAGCCAGAGCAGCACACAGAAACGCCGTTTACCTTCCCGCCGGAGCGGTACCTATTTATCTACTTGCACTTTGACGTGCTTTCGAACTGCTAGGTTGGCAGGAGCAGGGACCGAGCAACAGGAGATCACCCTGTTGCGGGGATTCGAACCGCCAACCTTCTGATCGGCAAGTCCTAGGCTCTGTGGTTTAACCCACAGCACCACCCGCGTCACATCACAATTAGATGCTCTATTTATTGCATGTCCTTCTTCACCACAACTGTACATCATTCACACACCCCATGCATATTTTAAATTCAGTGCTGGCATTAGACATTTCTGCACTAGAAGGGAAATGTCAAAGAGACAGCCTCTGCTCTGGACTATCAGTGGCTATCAATGGCTGCCAGCCATGACATCTATTCTTTCTCTCCACAGTCAGAGACCATATGCTTCTAAATACCAGTTGCTGGAAGCTGTAGGAGAAAAGAGTGCTCTTGCACTCAACTCTTGCTAGCAGGCTTCCCATAAATAGGGTTGACATATCCGTAAAATGTCAGCCGCAGGCGGTGTCCAGGCGGAAATCTCCGAAATGTCTGGGAAAATCCGGACGTATGACAGCCGATGTCAGCAGTGTCGTTTTTGCCAATCTCCCTCAGAAATAGCTCAAAAACATCCAGTTCCTTTGTGATTTTGACCAAAACTAAAAGAAGCTCAACAACTTTGCCAAAAAAGCTCCACACCTTTTCTGTCCAGATTTTCACTTTTAGAAATATGGCAACCCTACCGGAAATTAAAAGACACCTGTTTCTTGGGAGAAAAGCAATGACAAGCCTAGACAGCATCTTAAATAGCAGAGACATCACCTTGCCAACAAAGGCCCACATAATTAAAGCTATGGTTTTCCCAGTAGTGATGTATGGAAGTGAGAGCTGGACCATAAAGAAGGCTGATCGCCAAAGAATTGATGCTTTTGAATTATGGTGCTGGATGAGACTCTTGAGAGTCCCATGGACTGCAAGAACATCACACCTATCCATTCTTAAGGAAATCAATCCTGAGTGCTCGCTGGAAGGACAGGTCCTGAAGTTGAGGCTCCAATACTTTGGCCACCTCATGGGAAGAGAAGACTCCCTGGAAAAGACCCTGATGTTGGGAAAGATGGAGGGCACAAGGAGAAGGGGACTACAGAGGACGAGATGGTTGGACAGTGTTCTTGAAGCTACCAGCATGAGTTTGACCAAACTGTGGGAGGCAGTGGAAGACAGGAGGGCCTGGCGTGCTCTGGACCATGGGGTCACAAAGATTTGGACACGACTAAACGACTAAACAACAACAAACCCGTAAACATCTGGTTAGGCATCATGAGAACAGGATGCTAGACTAGATGGGCTATTGGCCTGATCCATCAGTCTCTTATGCAATTGTGACTGGAGCTCATTTTTAAAATGTTACAGATATTAAGAGCAAGAAAATGGCCCTCTTGTCACCACTTCCACTTTGGAACCTGCTGACACTAACCAACTGGAAGCCCTGTGAGGAACACCTGTAAGAGATAGGCACGTCGAGCCTGGAGAAGAGGTGATTAAGGGGAGACATAACAGTCTTCAAATATTTGAAGGGATTTCACATACAGAATGAGTATATAAGGGAAAGTTCTAGGTTAGAACTCATCTCTCTGACATCAAATGTTCTCTCTGCAAAAAGTTTGAAAATATATTTGTGTACGGAGGAACAGCTAAAACACTTAGCAGGTATCGCTGTGAATTGCATTTTGATGACTTTGATAATTTCCTTAACAGAATTGGTGATAAGGGAAACAAATTTATGGAGGAAAGGGATGTTTAATCCAGAAAATAATGATTACATCAATACACCAAGTGGCTGTTTTACTGCAGAAGCGATTATGTATTGGGACAAACGAAAATCAATCTTCCTCAGTCTTTATGGCAATAAAAAATCTTCTTCCCAAGGTAAACTGCAAGGGAAAAAGTTGCTTATACTCTTTATTGCTTTTATGTCCTTTTATTGCTCCTTTACGATGTGCAAAATGGATTCCAGGTTAACAGAAAAGTGGATAGACACCCCATTTTCTAAGCCCTTCTCATCTTAGTTTTGTATAGCAAAGTCAACACATTTTAGTTTGCCATAAGTGCAGGGTCTGCCTTTAAGGACCATGGGGAAACCTAAGTGTTATGTGGGAAACAGCAGGGACCTTTTACAAACCTGTAGCATTCCAGTCATTGTGGGGCATAACTCTCCAACACATTTTAAGTGAAGCAGGATCAATACAGGCAGCAGCAAAAGGCACAACAGGTGAAAACTTGTCTAGTGAAAACTTCACCAACCATTGGAGATTATTCTGCCATACCTGAGCAGAGGTCAAACAGTGAATGGGGTAGATCTACAATCACATACCCTCCAGCATTTCTCTGATGAAAATAGGGACACCCTATTCCTCCTCCTCCTCCTCATCCACCTCCTCCTCCTCCTCCTCCTTCCTCTTGCCTGTCCACCTGACTGGGTTGCCCCAGCCACTCTGGGCGGCTTTCAACATATATTTAAATATAAAGCTAAAAGGTAAAGGGACCCCTGACCATTAGGTCCAGTCGTGACCGACTCTGGTGTTGTGGGGCTCATCTCGCTTTACTGGCTGAGGGAGCTGGCGTACAGGTTCTGGGTCATGTGGCCAGCATGACTAAGCCACTTCTGGTGAAAAAGAGCAGTGCAGGGAAACGCCGTTTACCTTCCCGCTGGAGCAGTACCTATTTATCTACTTACACTTTGACGTGCTTTCGAACTGCTAGGTTAGCAGGAGCAGGGACCGAGCAATGGGAGCTCACCCCGTTGCGGGGATTCGAACTGCCGACCTTCTGATCAGCAAGTCCTAGGCCCTGTGGTTTAACCCACAGCGCCACCCGTGTCCCTTTATATTAAAATATAATCAAGCATTAAATATTGAAAAAACTTCCCTATACAAGGCTGCCTTCAAATGTCTTCCAAATGTTGTAGTTACAGGTAGGTAGCCGTGTTGGTCTGCCGTAGTCGAAACAATTTTTTTTTTTTTCCAGTGGCACCTTAGAGACCAGCTAAGTTTGTTATTGGTATGAGCTTCCATGTGCATGCACACTTCTTCAGATATCAAAGTATCTGAAGAAATATCTGAAGAAGTGTGCATGCACACGAAAGCTCATACCAATAACAAACTTAGCTAGTCTCTAAGGAGCTACTGGAAGGAATTTTTTTATTCTAAATGTTTTATGGTTACTTATTTCCTTGCCTCAGGGGTGGCATAACTCCATACCTTCCAACATTTATCTGATGAAAATAGGGATGTCCTAAGGAAAAGCAGGGCATTCTGGGGTCAAATCAGAAAACAGGGCCAGCTTCTGTAAATCTGGGACTGTCCCTGGAAAATAGGGACACTTGGATGGTCTGCGACCACGCTGGCAACTTGTTTTGACCGAGGCCCAAATTCCACCAAGAAGTCCTGATTTGGCTCAGGATCCAGGCACCATCCTTCTCTGCTGCACATCCCTAGTTCCAAGGTCCAGTTGCTGAGGAATCCCAAGCTGGGAAGGGTTTAAAAGCACTCTGAAGCTAAGGAGGTGGGGAAAATGGGTGAGCAGCCCAGGCTGTGCAGTGGCTTCCAATAACTGGCATAACCTTCAGTTTGTAACAAAGCAAATCGCTAGAACAGGAGTAGGGAAACTGTAGCTCTTTGTATGTTGCTGGACTACAACTCCCATCATCCCTCACTATTGGTTGTGCTATCTGGAGCGCATGGGAATTAGAGTCTTACCACATCTGGAGGGCCACAAGTTTCCCATTCCTGTGCTAGAGGCCACTATACCATCTGGTCTACCCACCTCTTCTTGTCATCTTCCTGAATTCCTGGGACCAATAGTCCCTCCTCTGCTTCCTGTCACTCAACACCAAGAAACAGTATTTTGGCAAGGAGGATGGTCCTCCCTTTTCTCCCATCTAATGTTTCTGCAAATGGGACAGCATTTGTCCCATATAGAATCTACAAACCTTTCTACAAATGACACCAGAGATCCTGAGTTAAACCATGGCTTGCTACAAGAAAGCTTTTCTAGGCACCATCAAAGGAAAATGTACAAAGTGTGTGATGATTTTAAAGTCTCTTATAAAAGGTTTTCTTGTGTGTGAATTTTCCCATAGTACTGAAACATTGAAATTCTCTTCTGAATTGATCTGTGAATGCATAACAACAAGCATTCAGCTCTAGCTTTTATCTGTGTTTCAAAAAGTATTTAATCCACAGCACCTAGACCTGGATGATTTATTGAGCCCTTGCAGTATGGAACAACTAGGAGAGAAAACTGACTTATAGCCCCAAGTGGCAGTCTTGTCCATCCTCATTTGGCACTCTTTGAGCTAGTTTCCTTGCACCCTGTGCACAAATTGCTACTAATAACACGCACCTGGGGCTCATCTCAGGTACCTTTCCAAAAAGTAGCACTCATATTTGCAAATAAGGTGGTAGAATATTAGGTTTGGGGGTCAACTCAGGACCAGCATTGTACTCTTGCCTCTAATCTCTCTACCTGTGTGACATTTTGAAGACCAAGCTTTGATCCAGAGCAGCTAGTCATCACTTTGACTTTTCACTGAAGAGGCGAAAATGCTTTGGGCCAATAGCAAGCCAACTACAGTTGATTTCAAAATCACAGTCCACCGAGCTCAGACCCTACTGACATCTTGCTTTGGTTCTTTTTCCTTTCTTCCATGCTCACAACATGAGGACTTTTGCTCAACTGCCAGACTCATGGCTTCCACGATATGGTTTGAGAAAGCAAGGAAGATTGCATCCGTCTGTTCCTCTCCAAATCTTCTCAGATATGTTCTTCCACTAATATATTTGTACCTACAAATAATCCTAGCACTTATCACAAGTCTTTCTCTGGTTTAGGGGGTCTTCAAAAGCTTCCATAGAGCCTTCTGCCTGAAGAGTCTTCCGGGATCTAACCTGAAACTGTCACTCACCAAAGCATCTCCATCTCCCCATTGCCAACTCCTTTTTAGCTCCAGACTCCTTCAGCATCTGTTTCCCCAGCTTGTCAGCTACATGTTGAATGGCTCCCAGCTGGAGTAATTAACCCAAATACCAAGGCAGCCTTCCATGACCTACAAGGGTCTGCCACACGCAAGAAAGACTTAACAGTACTAAAGCGGCAACTAATGGCAGTAAGCAATCCATTGGAAGGAATTCAGCAGAACAGTGCCCTTTCCTGTGTTTTACACAAAGAAAATTGTTTCAGGAGTTTGCCCAAGTGCCTCTCTGCATCCTTGACCTGCTCCTTCCAGAAGTTAACTTACCATGCCACTGTATCCATCCAGCTCTGTCTCCCAGTGGGATGGATGTAACAGCCAATGGAGAAAATTAAACTCACACAGCCTCCAAGCAGGATCGGCTTGGCTGGTGCTATTCAGATGTTTAGGGAAGCTTTTAATGTTTAATAGACTATTGTATTTTAATATTCTGTTGGAAGCCGCCCAGAGCGACTGGGGAAACCCAGCCAGATGGGTGGGGTATAAATAATAATAATAATAATAATAATAATAATAATAATAATTTTTATTTATACCCTGCCCTCCCCAGCCAAGGCCGGGCTCAGGGCGGCTAACAACCAATAATAAAAACAAGTTGAATGAACTAAAAAACAAGATTAAAATACAACATTAAAATATTGAAACATTAAAATATTAAAATGCAGCCTCATCGCAGGAGGAGAAAGGAAAAGAAAAGAAGAAAGAGGGGGAGGGAATCAAATTGGCTCCAAGCCAAAGGCCAGGTGGAACAACTCTGTCTTACAGGCCCTGCGGAAAGAAATCAGATCCTGCAGGGCCCTGGTCTCATGAGGCAGAGCGTTCCACCAGGCCGGAGCCAGTGTTGAAAAGGCCCTGGCTCTGGTTGAAGCTAAACAAACTTCCTTAGGGCCCGGGACCACTAGGGTGTTGCTATTTATGGACCTTGAGGCTCCCCGTGGGGCATACCGGGAGAGGCGGTCCTGTAAGTACGAGCGTCCTAGGCCGTGAAGGGCTTTAAAGGTCAAAACCAGCACCTTAAATCTGACCCTGTACTCCACCAGGAGCCAGTGCAGCTGGAAAAGCACTGGGTGAATATGCTCCCATGGCAGAGACCCCGTGAGGAGCCTCGCTGCAGCATTCTGCACCCGCTGGAGTTTCTGGGACAGCTTCAAGGGCAGCCCTGCATAGAGCGAATTACAGTAGTCAAGTCAATTATCAATAATAAATTATTATTATTATTATTATTATTATTATTAGACTACAACTCGCCCAGTCTGACAATTAGTCCAGTCAGTTTGTGCTGATGGGGTTTGTAGTACATAGCATCTAGAGCACGGGTGTCAAACACAAGGTCCGCGGGCCGAATCCGGCCCGCCAGACCTCGTCATGTGGCCCGTGGCATCAAGGGCGAGGAAGCGAGCTTCTCGTCCTTTTTACTGGTCCCGACCCAGATTTTAGGGTCCGCACTCCGGCAGAGGCTCTCTGCCTTTCTAAAAAGTGACCCACGCGAACAGCCTTCCCTGCCTGCTTGCAGACAGGGCTCCAACCGACGTGCCCCGTCGGCGCTGCCTACCGGCCGGTCCCACAAGTTTCACCTGCCTTGCGGGCCGGGCAAAGAGGCTTTCTGCTTGCTCGGTCCAGTCCGGGGCTCCCTGCGGAGGAGGCGGTCCCGCGAAGCCGAGCTCGGAGCCGGCTGCCTCCGCCCCTCGGAGCCTCCCAGGCGCGGCTGCTCAAGGGGACGGGCAACTTTTGGAGCCCAAGAGAGCCGCGGAGGCTGGCAGCGAGGGCAGGGAGCGAGAGCCACGCTTGGGACGCTGCTCGCTCACTCGCTCGGGCCACAAGAGGCCACTGCGGCGCTGCAGCTGGCGAGGAGATGGCCGGGGGCACGGGCGGCAGGGCCAGGGGCTGGCTGGGGGGCGCCCTGGTAAGTAAGTAGCGGGGCCGGCAGGCGAGGAAGGGAACGGTGGAGGCGAGTGGAGAGCGGGGACCCGGCACAGGTCCTGCCACAGGCGGTGCGCCCCGGCTGGGCTGGGAGAGGCGAAGCTGCTGCTGGTTCAGCTGCACAGAGTGGGGTGGAGGGAGCCGGTCGGGCAGGCGGTGTGCCACACCGCAAAGCAGGGGCGCCTCCCACCCCGAAGAGGACCGCGCCGGCATCTGGGCGGCTGGAGCAAAGTGGGAGCCTGCCAGCAACTTGGCTGTGGGAGCCTGGCTACGAAACACCGCCCCCCTCCCCACACCAACACATCGGCTTTCTCCGGGCCGGAGGACTTGGTGGAAAACCCCCTCCCCAGGAGCAACTGCAGCAGCTCAGGGCCCCAGCAGGACATCCTGGCCACCCGCGCCCGCAGTGCCGTTGGGGCTCCCTTGCAAGGAAGAAACTGCTGCTGTCCAAACTGCAGCTCCGTATCCTCCGACTCCTGAGTGCGGCGGCAGGGCGGGGGGAGGCAACATTTGCTTCTGCTCTGCTCTGTTGGGACAGGCTCCTGTCTCCTCCCCATTGGAGCTCCAGTCTGCCTGGAAGCCCATCTCGTCATCTTTTTAAAAAATCATTATTATTTCTTCTTCTATTCTTATTTAAAATCGTACTGGAATAGGTATATTAAATAGTGTATAGGTTCAAGACAACACACACCAGTGCCTAAGGAAAAATAACTTTGATAAAGTCCTACAGATACAACCAGCCCTTTGAGGGTGACCAAACTGCTGATGCGGCCCCCGATGAATTTGAGTTTGACACCCCTGATCTAGAGGCTAGCAAGACAGAGAAGACAGCTGTAGTCCAATGCAGAGAGCATCAGCTAAAGGAGAGACCTCAGAGATGAAGCTTATCTCCAATACCCATATGACAGACATCCCCTTTGAAATTCACCATTGCTAACAATGGAAGGATCATCCTGGAATCTCTTCTTTCTTCCTTGTTTTAAGGTTTGATTCACAGTTTTATTATGCAGTTTTAGAGCAGTCATTCTTATTATACATGTTGCAAAAGCATATCGCTTACACACATTTTAGAAACCAGTAAAATATAGGCGAAAGAAATCGATCGAAAGGAAATACTTCTTTGCTGACACAACTCACACCAAAACTTCAGAGGAGCAATGAGCACATCTGTATTTACTCTCATATGCATTAATACCAACAATTTTGTATGAAATATT